ACACAAAGATTGATTCCAGCATCACTGTCATCAGTCGCCGTGCTGTTAATCTCCAAGTCACATCAGAAACGCAGCGAGTGGGCGCAACGTGGAAATCAAAAACCTTCTCGTGCACCTCTGCTGTCGCTCTGTAGGAGAGCGTGTGTCATCACCGGCGCTGGATCGCCTCCATCGTGTCCAAGCTGGTTTACTTTAGGGAACACAAAGAGGCGAATCTGCAGAACAGAGCGAAAACGCTCTCGCCCTGCGGCGGTAACGTGGAGCTCCACGCTGACAGCTTCGTCTCACCTTCGATGCACAACCTCAAAAATAAATTGAGGTCAGCTGGAAGTCGAGGTTTGCTCTGATTCGAGGCCGGCGGTGAAACCGTGTTTTTCCAGTGAGCTGCACTCACACACAGAGTGCTTTTGTTCAAAGATCCTGAAATATGACAAACTGCTCAGCTCACCTCGATGGTCCCTCCTGTTACGCTTTAACGGGTTCAAATGTGAAGCAGCTTTCAGTGTCTTTGCTCGTTTCAATCACAGCTTTACGCTCCAACAAGTCCAGATCCTCTCAGTGTCTCAGACGTGAACGCTTTAAACAGCGCTGCAGTGACTGCATCGACGCCCGGCTGCGCCTCTGCGTCACTCGTGTGACAAACAGCAGCTCTTCCTTTCATCTGTGAAAGCAGACGTCTGATGCTGTTGCAGTAATGAAAACACTGAAAGTTACAAATGCGTCACTCATGAAACGCTGGATTTTAGAAACCTGACGTACACAGGCCAGCGTGCACGCCTGAAATCACCCCGAAAGACTTCCTGTTCAGCACGGACAGGTGAGACGTGACCCAGCGAGCTGACTGGGGTTAAACTCACACCACAGGAAGTCACAGTGGGAATCCCGCTCGAGTCTACAGTGAAGCTGCTGTTAAAAACTCACCGGGACTTCCTGTCTGCTTCACAATAAACTTATTTAGCACTGAGACAGTGGAACGCTTTTATTGTGAAAGCACCTGGAGAGGCAGGGATTGAAGCTGGACAAACACGCTGCTTTGACCTTCAGATGACCAGGAGGCGATTCTCAACTTTCATAGGTTATATTTCTCTAACATGATTAAACGCTCAGCTGTTGTAGCGACACCTCTGTGGATGAACAGGCTGGAGGCAGCCTGCACATGCATGTGGTGACTGTGTAACGCACACCTGCAGTTATGAGGGGCAGCCAATCAGAGGTTTCGATGGACAGAGGCTGAGTATGGACATAAACATGGATTATTTTGAGCTGTGACTCATGCAAAGCTGCTCTGCCCACATGGAGAAACATTAACCTCCTTCAGTCTGTGGCTTTCAGTTTGTTTTGCAGGAAGGTTTCACAAAGATCTGACCGCACATCCTCTTTCTGCCCAGCACCCACCCGCCCCAGCTCCCTGCAGACTCCCGGGGCCGGATGCAGGCGCCGTCCTCCCACCGAACACCTCACTGAGCTGTTGCAACAGCAGCTCTGAGATCTGCTGACGACAGCCAAACTGACCGCTCCGCAATACTTTCACTTCCCGTTCTGCAGCTTCCTGAAGAGCTGCTGGATGAGGAAGATCCAGTCACAGAGAGGTCACACACAAACACACCGACTGGTTCCCTCGCACAACGGAGCACGGCTACCCAATCCACCCCGCTCCTCACCGTCCGGCTGCTACGCATTAATCTGAAAACAGCCCCCAATGAACGAACCTCCACTTCCTGTTAAATTCTGCTCATGAAAGAGACGATGATGTTTGATGTCGCCGAGCCGAGAGCCACAGACTGGATGTGTGAGTGTGGATTCACACTTCAGCTCCACATTAAAAGCACCAAAGCGACCTCATCCCCGTCTCCTGTAACCAGGAAGTCACAGACTCGTTTGGTCATCTTTGCACCTGCACACGTGTGGTTCATACAGCGGCCTGTTGACACGCGCTTCCTCACGCCCCTGCAGACACCACGGCATGTTCCTCGACTGGCTGCTGGAGGTCAGAGGTCAGATGCAGAGAGAGCGCTGCACCAGAGTGAGTGCTCTGGTCCTGAACAGCAGACGTGCCTCCAAACATTCGCTAACTGCTCTCAGTGAAACTGTCGGTAACTTTTGCCACATCGCTGCACAAAAGCAACAGATTTTTCCCCTAGCAACCAGTGGTTGCCATGCAGCTCTGAGAGCAGTAAAAACGTCCTCACTCCGGTGCAGGTCAGGACACAGAAGGATTCAAGTCATACACATAAATGTGTTTACCACCTGTGTGAGGACAACGCCAGATGGAATAGTCTCCGCCCCCTGCTAACAGAAGAAACTGGACAGAAACACGAGTGCGTTTGAATCTCTGCTCGATTCACTGATGCTGCGACACTTTTAAAAATTCAGCTTGAAAGCAGCTGACGCAGATTTCGCTTCTTGTTTTTGGAACCGTGGTGACACTCACAGATGTCAGCGCGTTTCACGCCGCGAGTGTTTCCGTGCAGTTGTTCGGTGCGTGGCGGTAACACGGTTCATCTAAGAGCGTCTGACTTCAGCAGCAGGTTT